GCCCCCTAAAGCCATCGGGATGTAGTGGACACATGCCCTGGAACTTGACCAGCCCCTCGCAGAATGACTTGCTTTCCATCAGTTTCTGCTGGTCAGTCGGACACATGGCCGGGTGATGAATCGAGACGGGTGAACCTGCCTCATTGGCCTGGGTAGGCACAGCCCTGCGCTCACTGTGTGCTAGAGGAAAGGGCATCTGGGTGACAGAGGGCAGTGACGGCCATCATCTCGTTCTCTGGAGCCTGGATCTGCCGCAGTGACCACTGCATGGCAGGGCCCAGTGAAGCAGCAGTGAGGACCAGGGCACACAGGCCAGAGCAGTCACAACGCTGTTTGCCAAGCTCAGTGGAGGCAGAAAAGCTGAGACAGTGTGTCCGACAATGCCTTGTGCCTCTCAGCACTGTCTGGGTTTGGAAAGCCCTGGGAATGTCTCCAGCCTGGTGCTTCTCCCTGGAGGCACCCGCGGTCTCTTCTGTCACCTCAATGATGCTTCCTGAGACAACCAAACTGCCTTTTCCACCTGGTGGATTTGCGCACACCTTTTGAGCCCCCAAGGGCCTGCCCCTGCCCTAAGATGCACTCTCTAGGACAGAGACCTATGTGGTGCTCCACTCCCTGTGGTCACCATGCCCTGCTGTGTCCGGCTGCAGCGCTTGCTCTTCTCATTCCCCTGGAGCTTTGTTCAGAGGCTGCAGCAGGCTGTGGTCCATCTGTCATCCTGCAGCAAGGGGCAGCCACCGGCCAGCAGAAGGCTGCTGTACCCTAAGTGCAGGGCCGGCAACTCCCATCCCTTCCCTCCTCATCCACGTGGAGCTCTGACCTCTTGCTCAGCAAGGGGCTCGGCAAGACCAGCAAGAGCTGGTAAACGGGGCTCAGCAAGACGACAAATTCCTTACTCGTTTTACGTGCTTGTCTGGCAGGGATCCAGGTGTCTGCAGGCCCCGAGCATCTGTGGGTTTGGCGTCCACTGTTGCTTTGCCAGGTTGAACAGAATCTTTGGGTGAGAACCTCAGGGGAGTGAGGCCACCACCCCTTGGGTGGTGCGGCTCATCCTGGAGACCAGGGAAGGGCTTTCGAGAGGTCATAGCAGTGGGGACATCACAAAGACGTCAGAAATGTCTTTCCACTTAGGGCTCTATCTGAGGCTCCCAACCTCAAAGGCAGGAAGAGGTGAGAACGTGGCCTCTAGATAAGAGATGGTACAGCTGTACTTTCTGAGAGGGTGGCCCTAGCTCAGGGCATGAATTCTAACACTTTATTGCCAAATTGGGTCACCAGATGTCAGCACCTATGACAACAAATACAGGTGAGCTTCGAGGTACATAAAATTATCCTCATAAGGGCTATTGCTCAAGCCAGTTCACCAGGGGCCTCTAAGAGACACTATAAAACTTCAAAGGCAAGGCCCTGACAGTCAGGCCATGGGCTCTGAAAGGCAGTGCTGGCTGTGACTCAGCTGCTGTAACATTTGGCATCATTTCCTAGAGCGATAGCAGCTGTTGGCAAACGGTCAGGCTGGTGCGTTGTAAACCCAGGGGCTGCTCTGAATGAGAGTTCCCTCTAACATCTCGAGAGGTACATGGTGACTGGCTGGGTATTAGGAATGCCCTGTCCCAGCTTTTGGAGAGACCAGTCCTGTTTCCTAGCTCTAGCTGTGAGGCCTGACTGTGACATCTTGGGCAGCCGCTGAGGGCTCAGTGACAGATGGATGCAGCCTCTCTCACTGTGCCCTCCATGGGAGTCACTGTAGTTCTCTGGGGAAAGCTGGACTCTCGGCTCAGGCAGGGACACCAGGTGAAGCAGGGGACACCTGATGAATCCAGGGGTGCCTAGTGAAGCAGGGGCAGAGAGGGGCTTGAGGGGAACATCTCTAAGGATGAGGGAAGGAGATATGTAGAGGAAGCAAACCCACCCTAACCATGTGTGCCAAAGTCACCTTTTCCAGGGAAGTCACCCCAACCCCCCTCCTCGTTCCCACCACCCTCCAGCAAAGATATGCTGTGAAACACAAACCAAAGCTGCTTTTATGTTCCCAAGAGTCTTGACCCACAAACAATGTGATCTGTGCCCAGATTTTTCTTACTGTAGAGCCATGGTCAAGGCTGCATGGTTTTTAAGAGAAAACTGAATGGGCTTAGGATGTGATGGTTGGGGTTGCATCTTGACTTTGCTGTTTCCCTGGCATGTGATTCTTGGGGGAAATTACATATAAAATGCTTGTAGTCAGGAGTTCTTGCAAGATTGAAATGAGTGGCTGTGGAATGGGGAGCTTCGTCTATGGTCAGGGGTGAGGCGGCAGGGTCTACCTGTTGTGTGGGCAGGGTGGCACCAGGCTGGGAAATCTCATCGTCGCTCTACAGCTGCCATGTGCTGGCTGAGCTACCTTCTCTGAACCTCAGTTCTGTTGCCTGCCTGTCAGGGTTCTTGGGATGATGTGAGCTGATGTGGGTCTAGTGCCCAGTGCAGGGCCTGCCTGCAGAGGTCAGTGCCCCATCTGTGGTGGCTGCACCAACTAGAGAAATGTGAGTCTAGAAAGGCAGACGTGCCCCCGACACACGAAGATTGCTGTGCTAAGCATCGGTCAGTAATAGCTCCGCTGAGGGTGGCATTCAACCACTTCCTCCGACACCAAGGCCAAGCCAGTTGTAGGAATGGGCCACACGGGGTCCACCTGTCTTGTAAGCTGCAAGGGCACGAATGCTTCTTTAAGTTGTCCTCTGGCTGGTTTGGCTTTGACCCTAACAACCTAAAACTCATAGGGCCACCTGCACCATATGGTCTTGTGCTGGTTCTTGAGAAAGATGGGGCAGAACTTGAGAAAGTACAGGGAGGCCCAAATCCCTTTAGCATGAAGCGTTTCCATGTGGAAAGACAGGGGGCTGAGAGAAGATGGGAAGGTGGTCTAGCAGGAGACAGAGCATGTGGGCACCAAGGGGCTGGGATACAGCAGCCATGACAATGGTGGTGGAGATGGTAGGGAGGACATAAGGAGTGGATTCTACTTCTTAACCAAATCCAAAGATATGGAACTTTGGGCACCTCTTGAACTTAAAATGGACCAATTTAGGACAAATACAAATAGGCCATTTTACACAAGTTTGGTCATGATGAATACATCCTGAGATATTGGGCTGAGAAGATGGGAGGACACAAGTCGTGGGATGGGTTGTCCAGAAGACTGAGAGCAACCACAGGGACCCCATCACCAGCACATGAAGTCGCCAGTAGTCCTCAGAAGTGGACATTTGTTATCCTTTCCTAGAGATGAGGTTCAGAGATGTGCACCCATATGGATGACACAGCTGGCTTGACCCCAATCCATTAACTCCATCACCAAGTTACCCTGACTCTTACAGGGAGCTTTGGGCTTCCTCCATATATTCTTCTTCGGTTTAGGGCCTTTGATTATATTTCTGGAGCATCCACTAGGGAGAAATGCTAGATGGAGCTTGGATTTAGCCCAGAAAGGCAGTGCTAAACACTTTTAGAATATTAAGCATTTAAGGTCAAGGGCAAGGGGGCAGGTGAGGGAGATGAAATACGATGAAACTCTTTTTTCTAGGACGGTGGCTCCTGACTTGTGCTGCATATGGGAATGACCAAGCAGTGGCCCTGGTCAGGGACATCAGGATTTCTGGAGCTGGGATCCAAGTAGCAGGGAGTGTTTAAGTGCCATGGATGGAACCACTGTCCTAGAGAGATGGCCTCTGTGTCCCCTAATATTATTATTAGGATAAGGATATTAACTTAAGCAGCCAGGGGTGTTGTGACCCTTGTCTTCAGAGACCCTCCTACTCTTTTATCAGCTGAGTTCCAGATTGCTCTGTGGTTATTTAAGACAAGTGAAAAGTAGAAATGAAACCCAAGACTGGAAATTCATCAGGAAAAAAAAAAAGTCTTAAGCAAGAAAGCTAAAAGATAATTTTTTTGTTAAATAATGAACACTCGTAAAACAGCAGTGAAATGGTATTAAAATGTCTGATTACTTATTTCTCAGCATTCGTCTGATAACTTAAGCAGCATGAAGCAGTAGTTGCACTTAAAAAAATGACAAGAAAATAGCTATTCATTTAGTCGACAGGGAAGGTTCATTTCTTTTTAAAGATCACTGGTGTCACTGCTTATCACCAGGGTAAGTGTCAACACAGGCATCTTTATGCTGAGACGGTGTCCACAGCTCCTTTGCCTACAGTTCCCAGAGCAAACCTTGGTCCTTCCAGGAAGGGTCTTTGGAGGGTCTGCGGTCTGCCCCCCACCCTAGATCAACGAGGCCCCAAGACTGAATATTGCTGCGTGGTGGCTGCTGAGTTTGGACACATTCCAAAAGAGGCTGGATGTTCCTAGGCTGGGGCAGCGTGGAGGGAGTGTCCAGTGGGCCTGGGGATAGACCCCATGCTATTCTGGCTTTGCATTCTCAGGGCTGTACCCATCTGAAGTCCAGTGATAGCTGGGAGTCCTGCCGGAAGTTTTGGTTCTCTTCCTGCCAGCCCCATTCTCTTCCTGCAAGGGAGGTTCGTGGATGGGGGAATGCCGGTGGAGTGAAGCAGGGCCACAGACAGAAGTGGCGTGTCCCCTGCCCTCTGCCTATTGCACCATATTCCATAAAAAATAAACACATTTGTACTGTTTGTGTATTGCTAATGCTATGGCATTCCAGGCACTGGCAGGCTGCAGAGAGAACTACACTGTCATGAATCCACCAGAATCCATCCAAGAAGGCCTTGTGGATCAGGATCTCTGGAGCTTCCCTTTGGAAAGGTCAGCAGTGCCCATCTGCCTCGTGCTCTACACAGTGCTGTGAAAATGAAATTAAAGGGTAAAAACAAAAGAAATCCATGGGTAGAAAAATCCCAGGGCTTTATGGAGCCGTTCGGCAATAACTTAGAGCGTACAGCATCACACAGGTGTGTCTACCTGCACGTCCACCCCTTGCTAGCCCTGTCTTCTTTGCATCTGCATACGACTGGCCCCGGTTCTTCCCCTGTGCGCCTGGATGAAGCTCATAGGTGGTTGTTCTTGGAGAGGTAGGCGATGAGGGCCACAGCCACGCCCACGTAGATGCCAGTTCCGATCGTGATGGACAGCACAGCCAGGAACAGGGCCCGTCGGGAGCTGGTGCTGGCCTGGTGGAAGTCCCCCTTGGCCACGGCTTTGTTTGTCTGTTGGAGAGAAAGGAGGGAGGAGAAAAGGAAATCAGGATGAGCAAGTCGGAGCAAACGATGTGAGTATAGTGCTCACCTCTGGCGCACTTCCAACCTTGAACTTAGTGACAGCAGACAGGGAGAACTCACTAAGAGGTAACTGGGCACGCTCCAGCATGGTGGAGGCATTCCATAACTGGTAAGGAAGAAATTGGGCAGCTATTGCTCCCCCAGACTGCAAGGCAGTCAAAGCTTAAAAAAAAGGAAAGAAAAGAGCCCCTAGGAATGCCCATGGATGGCAGCACTCCACCACCAGTGTGGGGCCTGGGGCCTTTGGCACCAGGATGTGAGGGAGAGAAGAGATATGACACCCCCAGCACCCTCATTTCTATAGAAGGCTGTCCTTTCTTTCATTTGAATAACACTGAATTTTTAAAAATATGTTCACATTTACCTGATTTAATCTTTACAAACTAGTAGCGGTGTGGGGAAAGAAATGATAGTTCTCATTTCTTTGAGGAAAAGAGGAAACTATAGCTTAAGATCATTAAACTGATTGCAGGATACTTAACACTTCAGTCTTCAGCTGGTACCCATGGAATCATGTGTTTCTGACTATTATCCTTCCTCACCATAGCTGGTGTTGGTAGAATTCATCCATCAATAAAATATTTGATATAAGATAATACCCATATTTCTGTTCACTCAGTTGCCTAGTGAGGTGTTGCTTTGGTGATATTCATGTTTCTTGGAGTCACAGGTGGATGGGAACATGGAGATTTTGGATGTTGTATCTGGTTGGGTATTTTGTAGCAGATCCTATGTACCCATCCTCAATTCCTTCCTTTGCTGTCCCCCTCTACACGTGAGACTAGAAGGATGACACAAGAGTGTGGGGACCATCATGTGCTTCAGCTGGAACCACCCTCAGGGACCTGTGAGGAAAATGGTGAATTTGGCTGATGGGGGTGGAGGCTACCATGGCACCATGACCCTTGGGAGGGGCAAGTAATGCTGAGGAGAGCTAACCCCAGTCTGGCTGGGGATTCTTTGGGGTCAGGGTACAGGCAGAGCCTACTCCCCAAGTAGATGGCCTAGCTCATTCTCTGGCCGATCTCCAGAAAGCCAGATTTTCACTGGCTCCCATCTCTGCCTGTCATCAGGGGTATTTCTGCATTGTGTAGGCCGGTAGGGGAGTCAGTATATCATTTACTTAAACTAAAATATGCTGCCGTATCTGCCACGGACCACAAAGAGTGAGACTCAGAGGTAACTTGTGAAATGAATTTCCACCCTCCACAGTCCTGACCCTGATTGATGAGATGTGGAACTCTGTGTCAGGCTGAGGAGGGACCCTGGTCTGCTTGGTGGCCTCTCTTCCCCTCTCTGCTGGATCGTGGAGCTCAGTTTTTGCCCTCCTTCCCTCATTTTCTGGCTTGGAAGGGAGCTTGGGAGCTCACTGCTGACAGTTCTTGATGAAGCAGAGCTAAGGGAATGCAGAACGGGAAGCCTCCTAGGACAATACTAATTAATTAATTAAGCCTTAATGAGCTGCATTTCATTTTATCTAATGCAGTACTCTCAAACACTCCAGCGTCCCATAACATCACACTGGAACTGCCCTTCCTTAGCCAGGAGGCCACTCTCCATTAGAATGGGGCTTTGCTGCTCTCTCTCATGATCATCACCCTGAGTCCCCAAGGAGAGGACACAGATGTTTAGAGAGAAAGGCAAAGCACGCTGGGCACTCCCTCACCCACAACACAGGCCCTGCCTGGAGCGCCTTGGTCCCAACTGCCTATCTCATCAGAGCTCACATGTTTCAGTAACTATGTTAGTAGTTGCCTTTCCGGCTCAGCCATAATCTCCAGAGGTAGGTCCACGTCTGCCATGTCCATGAGGTCTACCTGGAGCCTGGAGGAATGGTAGGAACTCGCTGAACACTTGAGGAATGACCAGGTGAGTGGGCTGTGCGAGATCACTCCCTTCAAACTCTTCCAGGTGGTAGGGCCCCCAGGTGCATCCTGGTGGCCTCTACAAGGAGGGAGTGGCATGGGGCAGGCTTGACCCAAGCTCTGGCCCAACTCCACAGAGCTCGCCTCTGCTGGGTTCTAAGCTCACAGTGTCAGCGCTTTCATCCCCAGGAGCAAGGAGTGTCTGCTGGGGAATCAGGCTCCACAGTTGACTCTCATAGCCCAAGCTGGGAGAACTCCATTTGCGATCTGTTTGGTTATAGGGCATCTGTTCCAACGGGAAGAGTGTTGCGTTCAAGATGTTATCAGCTGAGATGCATCAAAACCAGTAAACAGAGAGAGCCTCATTGACAAGCAGGCTGCTTTTCAACAATGCCTCTCAGTGTCTGCTTTTCGCAGAAGCTCCTGCGAGGTAGCTATGTCATTTGCACTCCACAGAGTGGGCATCCTGGCCTAACAAAGGTGGTGTCTGACGCATCCTTTGTTTCAGACAGTAGATCCTGTGGCTGTAAAGCAGGTTGCATATCTATCTGAGAGGGTGCAACCACAGAGAAATATTTCTATTCTGAAAACTTCTGGGCTAAGTCTCCAGGGTCTTCTTGCTAGGCATGAGGGCAGAGATTCTTGCCCTGGGTCTGGGGGCTTTGAAGCCCTGATGCTGAAAGCAAGACTGTGTGTGCATGTGCGTTTTAATGAGATGAGGGTCAGCCATGCTCCCTGAATTCTCAAAGCAGCCCCTCTCCCAGCTGCTCTGACTGCTTCACTGGGGTTGAGTGGGGGGCAGTACCAAGAGGAGGTACCAAGGAACAGAGCCAACATGGTGTCTCCTGATAGGGACAGGAGGACGTCACAGGTGCCTCTTGGCTGGAATGAGCAGATGTTGTTTGCTTGTCCTAATTGGGAATCTACACTGTCTACAACCTGATCTGTGCCCGAAACCCATGGTTTGTAAGTGATTATGCTGCAGGCACGCTGAGAGCCCATACTCAGAACGGCCTGTGGGTCTCGTTGGCACAAACTGCACCCCATCAGATGTCTCTGCAGCAGGAGTTCTCCAATCTGGTGCACATTCCAGTTGCCAGGGAGCTTTGAGAACTCCTGATTTCCTGGTAGCACACCGGCCAGAAGCTCCAGGCTGGGACCTGGCTTCTGTGCCTTTCATCCTCTCAGGTGATTCCCACATGCAGGCAAGGTCAAGACCAAGGTTGCCGCTTGTCCTGGCTTGCTCAAGACTGGGGGGATTTGCAGGACTTGGGACCTTCAGTGCTGGAATAGGGCCAGTCCAAGCAAATTGGGATGAGACTTCCTGCATCACAGGAAGACAGCCCTGGATCTGTCATGGAGAGCATCCTGGTGACCCACATTTTCTGACAGAAGCATCTTTTCATGTCAGCCTCCCCGTGATAGAGCAAACGAAGCTGGAGCTGGAGTTGGAGCTCAGGGGGAAAACTCAGCCTCCTGGAGGGTATCTCCAGCCTGAAGTCCACCCACATGTTTGGTTGTGACAGCTATGTGCCCTCGTGGCCTGTCCAATTGGAGTGCAAGGTGCTGTATTGATTCCTGTATGTGGACATTTGCAGGAAGGGAAGCTGTCCACATCCTGGGTATTCATAGCTTTGTTTTTAGTTTGTGGGGTATCATTTCCAAACCTCATTCCCTCTTGACTGGATTATGGTCCCAGGAGTTTATAATTTGCTGGCATTTTTCCTCCTGATTGCCTCCTTTCTAGCGGTAACATCAGGCTCAGCCCTGTGTTGGCAGGGCCAGTGTGCCTTGCAGGTGAGGCCCCCATCCTTAATCTGAGTCTGTCCTGGGGAAATGCCTTCCTCTGTGGAAAGTGACATGTGCTAAAAGAAACAGAAGGCTTACGCCCCATCCTACTTGTTTTCGGACATCCACATGGCTTATTTCAGTGGTCTTGGGCTTGTTCGGGGCCCCTGCCTCCTGATTTGCTGGCACCTCTCCCACTCTCTCTAAATGCTGCCCACGACAGACCCTTCCACAGCACACCTGCTGTGGTCCCTGCACCCTGCAGCATGGCATGTGTGGCCTTCTGACCCTGAAACCTGCTCCTGCCCAGCCTCATCTCCTCCCACAGTGGGGTAGCCTGCCACCAGAGCCCTCCCCACCGAGGGATTGTGTGTGACTACTTCAAACCAAATGTTCCACTGACATTAAAGGGGAAAGAGGGAGACTGAGACTCAGAGTTCTCATCTGTGCAGTGGGCCCATGGGAATGAGGCAGGTGTGGTCAGCAGGGGCTCCGATACCGCCTCCTGCCCTTTGCCCTCCAGACCCATGCTCTTCCCACAGTGGCCAGGAGACTGACTTGGTTCCTTCTCTGGTCCCCAGCTTCTCCCTGAGAGCTTCCCAGCAGCCCCATCAGACTGGAGGAGGGAAGGGCTCAACATTTGTGAGGGTCCCAGCAAGGACGGCTCCTGTAGGTTCTAACCCTCCATCCTGCTCTCTCCAGGCCTCCACATGGGCCACCAAGCATGCTCCGATGCACCTGCCCCAGTCACTGCACTGTTCCTCGTGGCCCCAGGCCAGTCACCTCTGCAAATCGACCCTTCTCAGATGATCTAGCTGGGGTGAGCTGTCTGCTTCCCGAATGAACCAGCTATGGTACGGGGGTGATAGAACATTTGCATCTGCCAGGACCTGGCTATGGGTCTGGAGCAGCCTCTGTGAGGCCCTGACCTGCAGGCTCTTTGTCATCAGTGAGACTCTTGCCACTGTCCAGACACACAACTCAGCCTGCGCTCTCCTGATGGCTGTGCTCATCCATTGCCGAGAAACACATCATCCCCAGCTTGGTGGCTTCAGACGAGAGGAAGCACTGACATCCGTATCAGTTTCTGAGGGTCAGGAATTTGAGAACTGCTCAGGGGCCAGCTCTGACCTGACCTCAGGGGGGTCTGGGCTGTGTCTTCTCAATGTTCTTACTGTGTTGTGGGCTGAGGTGGGCCACTGGGCTGGAGGTGAGGTAGGTTTCACTTGGCTCACAGTGTCCTCCTGCTGGAACCTTCTGGGCTCCTTCCTAATG